AAAACAGTAATATTACTAATATTATTGTCCCAAACAGTAATATTATTGCATGAGATAGTAATATTACGATCGAAAACAACAAAATTGCATGCCAAGACGATAAAATTAATTAATACAGTAAAATTACTGTCTCCAACAATAATATTACTGTCTCATGCAATAATATTACTCTTTGGGAGAGTAATATTAGTATTGATAAAATTAATTAATACAGTAAATTCGGAGACAGTAATGTTAATCAAAATATTGTTTTTAAGAAAAAACAAGTTTTCAAAAAAGTAAAAAAAAAAAAAAAAATTCAACGTCGGACCAGCGGTTGACCTGCCGGGAAAAAAAAGATTTCAAAAAAAAAAAAGTCAACGCCGGTGACCAGCGGTCTCAGGCGGTGGCGATCAAAATTGGGGTCATAATTGGAATAAGGGTTGAAATTAGTTAATTGGTGAAATTGAGCTAAATTGAGATGTAAATCATGAAATTGGAGTTGAATTAGGGTTTCAAGGAGTATGGGATAATTTTGGTATATATAAAAAAAATTCCTTGTTTACAAATAAGTTTGAATGAGGTGAATTTATTTGGAAGACAAAAAAGTTGGATGTCCTTTTTTAATTAAGTGTTTTTGACATGGACCTATTTGTGATTTGTCCTAAAATTATTGATAATATGGGCAATTTGCTATAGGTTCCTCTATATTATAATTTATGTATATAAATCCAAGTCAAAATCTCCATATTTTAATAAATTAATAATATTTATTGTGTCAAAAATACCCTTAATAAAATCAAATCAAATCCCCTAAAAACCTCTCTATCAAAACAAATTTCCAAACATCTCTCTTGCAATATCAACAAAAAAATTACATAAACTAGTAAAAAAAAAATACTATTTATCGTACAAACTCATACTCTAAAAACGACATAGCCTCCGTATCACTGTCTATCGTGAACTGCAAATAGCAAACTGATGCCTATGACTCGGTGAACTGCAAATAGCAAATGACGCATATGACTCTGTAAACTGCAAATAGCAAACTGAATAATAGAATTTGTATTATTGATCTGCAAACAACAAAACACCAATGATTCAGCCAGAAAACAACAAACTGGAACTTTTTTCCCATAATTTGCATTATTGAGTTGCAAAAAAAAGATTGCCTGTGTCTTCTCCAAATACAAACATCAAACTGAAGAAAAAATTCAAAACGAGAAACAATATGTAACATGAAATTGGAAAATACAAAATGAAAACAACTAAAGGAAAAAAAACCCGAGGTACTCACCCCAAATTCCTTGCCGCCAGTCCTAACTCCGTCACAAATCCTAGAGTTGGCACCGCCGTAATGAATCCAATCAATTGAGTACAACCAGTCAAAGCCCTCGGCGAGGATGGTAGGGACCGAGACGGAGATATTGTTGGGGACGAAGCAGAAGGTGGATTCCGAACGCCGGTGAAGAGGTGCATCAAAATCTCGTGGATCGATTGCCGTAGAACCACCACCCAAGATCGGGGCGAGAATCTTCTGAATTGCGTTCCATCGTACAACTGGAGAAGTAGAAACTAAATACAAACAACAAACAAGGTCTTCAAAATAGCAAACAATTTTTCAAACAAACGAAAAATATTCATTTATAGTTTGTTGAAGGTTCTAGCTATGGCAGGATTCAAAAGGAAAGAAAAAAATTCGGAATCGAGAAAGGGAATAGAGTAAGAAATTGATCAGATTTTTTCCCGAAAAGATGCTTATCGAAAAAAAAAAAACAGAAAAAGAAGAGAGACACGATGGAGAGGCACGGGATAGAGAGGGAGAGAGATAAGAGATTAGATATATGGGGAGAAAGAGATGTAAGATTGGACCGAGAGAGGGAGAGTGATATATGGGATTTACTTTCTTTTTAATTAAGGGTGTTTATATCAATGTACTAATTATTTTATTTTATTTATATATTTTTTTTTGTCAAATGACCTAAACCTATATTAATCTAACAGTTAGAATCTTCACCTATATAAGTCCAGAATAAGGGGTGTCTAGCCAATTTCCCCTTGATAATAACCGTGTCCGTGTGTAAGCTAATTGTTTTGTAATGAAAAATTAGCACAATAAGTGATATTCTTCCTCGACGTTAGGGTTCTAATATAATGTTTGAGTTCAACTCAATTGTATGGCTTAACCACAAGTTAAAAACTCTCTCTACTAAGTCTTTGGAGTATCGCGTCTAAGATTTTGAACACATATACGGTATACCAATGTACAATTTTTAAATTTGAATTTTAGAAACTAATTTTTTATTTATTATTATTATTATAGGAAATAAATAAAAAAGTTCATGGTAAAGTCAATTTGGGACCTTTTGAACAATATGTAAAAGTGAGTTCGAACTTTTCTTTCGATTGAACTTCGAACTTCAAACTTTAGTTGTGAATGATAGAGTTTGACTGTTTGAGATCGAATTTTTTGAGGTCAAACTCCTTGCCTATTTAACCCAAACTAATTCTTGTTTACCGAACTAATTAGTTCATGTTTACTTATTTTGTTATTATTATATATATATATATATATATCCAAATTGTTCGACCCTCCACTAGAACTTCTTGAATCTTCCAGCTACATCACGTCATAATATTATGTTGTTAATCATTGATAACTTAATAATTATTAATTTACAAAATTTAGATGAATCGTTAGATGACGACGACACTCATGAACCGTAAAATTTAATCACTTGGTCGAATTACAATAAAGTAATAGATTATTAACCAAAAAAGGAAAAAATAATAATTAAAAATAGAATTAAGTGAGTAGATGCATATATAGAATAAATACATAATAATGTAGCTTTTGGTTTTGAAATATGGGGTATTTTTTTAATTGATTTTTCTGTTTTCATATTAAAAGATAAAAAGAAATTGGAAATTTGTTTATATGTTACATACAATTTCGATTTAGTTATTTTTTAGGGTTAAACACAAAAACACCCCTGTACTATGACCTTTGTATCATATATACCCTCCGTACTACACTTAAATACAAAAACCCCCCTCACATACATTTTTTTCAAAATATGATAAAAATACCCCTACTCAAGCACGCGCACACACACACGCGCACGCGCACGCGCGAGCACACACACACACACACACACACACACACACACTCATATATATATATATATATATATATATATATATATATATATATATATATATATATATTGATATGCCTAATTGGGCCAACCCAATGGGCCTACAATTTCTTTACCTACTGGGCTACGAGCCCAATATCGAAGACTAATATCACCGATGCCCAAACACCTTCAAGTAAGGCTTGGGCCCAACAAAGCAAACCCAACCCAATAAACGACATATAAATAGAGGTTTTACTCATTTTATTAAGGTATGTCCTATTAACTGAGCAATACTACAATTGTATTCTCTGGACTATTTTCTATGATCAGCAGGTCTGACTTGAGCGTCGGAGGGGTTTCCGCCGGATCAACCCCCGGCCTAGTTCACGTGTTCTATGATCGCAGGTACCTCAGGATCATCAAGTTGTCAAGCTACTGATCCGCTTTGCTCTCCCAGTTCGTTTTCTACACTACCCTAGGTGAGCTATATTTTAGCATCATATATATATATATATATGTGGGAACGATGCAAACCAGATCACGTAGCCAACAAGATCCTCCTGAGGCGTCAGCTCGGAGAGAAAATAACACAGCTAGTCAAGATCCTCCTGAGGTGTCAGCTCGGAGAGAAAATGACACAGCTAGTCAAGATCCTCCTGAGGCGTCAGCTCGGAGAGAAAATGACACAGCTAATCAAGATCCTCCTGAGGCGTCAGCTCGGAGAGAAAATAACACAGCTAATCAAGCTCCAAAACCTCTAATTGCTTGGATTTTTTTAATTTTCTGAATAAAACCCTTTATTTTTGTCATTTTGAGTTTCTTCATTTTTTTCTCTTAAATGTCTTCCGGTAGTTCAAACATTCTAAGATTACAAAATCTTTACAATCCTATGACTGTTGAGAATTTGAACTACCGGAAGACATTTAAGAAAAAATGAAGAAATTCAAAATGACAAAAATAAAAAGTTTTATTCAGAAAATAAAAAAAAAATCTAAGTAATTAAATGTTTTGGAGAAAAAAATAAAAATAAAAATAAAAATTTCAAAATTTCCCAAGTAAAATTGACCGAAAATGTTATAAAATATAGTGGAAAATGACTAAAATAAACCCTTATATTTATAGGCTTAGCAGTGGAATTTTCGTCAGATTTTGGAAAAAATATAACAGTAAGGGAGGTTTTGTATTTATGTGTAGTACATGGGGTATATGATACAATGTCAATAGTACAGGGGTGTTTTTGTATTTGACCCTATTTTTTATTTGTTAAAGCTTATAATTAAATAAAATAGTAACTTAAAAGTAAAAAAATGGTAATAATAATACTGTCATGAATGAAGATCAGGTAACATATTACAATATCAAATTATATATTATTTGTTTGAATTAAAATCTGATAAGAATTAAATAGGGGTGCACGAGATATATAATTTGGGGATGAATTATGAGAGTCAAAAATTGAGAGTGCAAAGCACCAATTAATATAATATCCAGGTGCAGAATACGATTCATCTGCCCTAAAACCTGTAATTAGTGGGAATAATTAATCTGCCCAGAAAATCACACGATTTATCTCAAATTTCCTTAACCACAATAAAAATCCATGCTCATTAACTTAACAAGGTAAAAAATGTAAGTAATATAATAAAGAAAACCGTGTGGACCCCACACGCGTGATAAACACTCGCTAACAATATTTGCATTCACACAGACTCTCTCTCTATATAAACGTTATATCATATATGGTTCCCTTCACCTTCTCCATAATCACCACCCCGTCTCATATATTACTCTCTCTCTCTCCTAGTTTTCATTCATTTCAATACAAATATCATTAACAAAAAAAAAAGAAAAAAAGAAAAAAAAGGAATCTGTAAATTAAACATGTCTAGTAGTGATGCTGCTACTAGTACTACACATGTTTTAGAGGAAGAAGTTGTAACAATAAACCAAGACGAAAACACCCCGAAAACACTTGCGGCGAATAAGCTCCTCCGCCGCTACGACTCATTGGACATTGAATCTGCCAAACTCGCCCGGCGCTACCACCACGCGGCCGCCGCCTCCACTGTTAGTATTATTTCCAGATTTATTTATTTATTTTATGTTTGTAATGTATATAAATATTTAATTAATAATAATGAAATTAGGAAAATGGAGGGTGGGTGGTTTTACTGCAACTGGCGTTCCAAAGCATAGGGGTGGTGTATGGGGATCTGGGAACATCGCCGTTGTATGTATTCCCAGGTGTATTCAGTAATGGGATTAAAGATGAAGATGATATTCTCGGTGTTTTGTCTCTCATTCTTTACACTCTTACCTTATTACCTCTCCTCAAATACGTTTTCATCGTCTTACGTGCCAACGACAATGGCGATGGTACGTATTTTAATTTTCTTTTCTTTTTTTCTTTTTTCTTGTTAATTCATTGGTCTGTGTGTGTGTGTGTGTGTGTGTGTGTGTGTGTGTGTGTGTGTTTTCTTTAATGAAAATGAGTCCAAATTAAGTCAGATATTGTAAAAAATAGATATTCATTATTTACATAAGAAAATAGTCAGAATTAGGTCTCTATATATATGGTTGGTTGGACGGGTTCACACGTCTTCTGATCTGGTTAATTAAACAATCGACTTTGCCTTGATTAATTACGTGATGATTTCAATAATTTTGACCAAATTTTGTTACATGTGTCAAACATTATTATTAATAATGTCAGTGTAATTATATTTCATATATAGATTTTGACTAATAATTAATTACTAGTAGATCCTTTTTTTTTTATATAGTGGGACTGTTAAATTATCAGTATGTGATTGTGAAAATTAACTATCGGCCTCTACACACAATCCGATCCCAGTTAATGTGACATGCATGCATGGCTGCAAAATTATGAAAAACCATTTCTGTAATCATTATTTTAAATTTTGAACACATTAATTATTCTACTAAATTTTTCAGAGAAATTTTTAATTAATTAATTAATTAATTAATTATCATTTAGATTGATATAATATGTATATTTAAATTCCAGGAGGGACATTTGCTCTGTATTCTCTGATATGCCGATATGCGAAAGTTGGATTAATTCCGAGTGAAGAGATGGAAGATCAAAACGTGTCAACATTCCAACTCGAGTTGCCCGATAATCGCACGCAAAGAGCATCGAAACTTAAATCAAAGCTCGAGAATAGCAATTTCACAAAGTACTTTTTGTTGTTTGCTACAATGCTTGGAACATCCATGTTGATTGGTGATGGTGTGCTTACTCCATGTATCTCAGGTACCTTTTCATTATTATATATACATTTTTTTTAATTTCTAGTTGCCATCTATATTTAATTAATGTACTTTCTTTGAAATATTAAATTGAAAATAACTCGGTTTCATGTATGTTCTCCGACAGTATTATCGTCAATGAGTGGACTCAAATTGGCTACACAAGCTATGACCGAAGGTACGATCCTAACTACTTAGAAACATGTTTTAATTACTCTGTAAGTATAGTTTTCATGTTTTTAATTTAATGTAATTGAATTGATATACTTTTTAAAATCGAAACAGATAGAATTGTGTGGGCATCAGTTGGGATCCTAATATTCTTGTTCACGATTCAAAGATTCGGAACGGACAAAGTGGGATACACATTTGCTCCAATACTGAGTGTTTGGTTCTTTTTAATATCTGGAATCGGTCTCTATAACATAATAAAACACGACCCACTTGTCATCAAAGCTATAAACCCGAAATACATAGTAGATTACTTCAGGAGGAACCAAAAGGAAGCATGGATTTCCCTTGGTGGTGTTGTTCTTTCCACTACAGGAACCGAAGCATTATTTGCTGACGTTGGTCACTTCTCCGTCAGAGCAATACAAATAAGTACGTGCAGTGTCGTTTACCCATCGATCATGCTTGCATACACCGGACAAGCCTCTTATCTTCGCAAACACATCTCCGATGTCGATAATGCCTTTTACGCTTCTGTCCCAGGTTTTTTTTTTCGATGCATGCAATTTTTGTTCTTCTAACATTGGTTATTAACTTGTTATAAGATTGCATGTGTTTCTATTAACTTGAAATTAAATGTACTATAGGACGCATGTATTGGCCGATGTTTGTGGTGGCAGTGATGGCATCGATTATAGCAAGCCAATCTTTAATCTCGGGCACATTTTCAATAATCCAACAATCACTTTCCCTCGGTTGTTTCCCCCGTGTTAAAGTTGTGCACACGTCTACAAAGTACCCTGGTCAAGTCTACATTCCCGAGATCAATTACCTTCTTATGCTGGCTTGTATATTTGTCACTCTTGGATTTAGGAACACTACAAAGATTGGCAATGCTTACGGTAATTAATTAATGTTATTATACTACTTTGGTCTTGTAATTTTTAAAATTTCGTTCTGGATTTTGATTGAACATTATATATTGCAGGGATTGCTGTGGTGTTTGTGATGGCACTCACATCGGCATTTCTAGTTCTGATTATGATCTTGATTTGGAAAACTCACGTGCTCCTCATAATCGCATATGTTTTCACCATTTTCGCGGTCGAGCTAGTGTATCTGAGCTCGGTTCTTTACAAGTTCGATCAGGGGGGTTACCTACCCCTTGCATTCGCCATGTTCCTTATGACAATCATGTTTGTGTGGAACGACGTGTACAGAAGAAAGTACCACTTTGAACTCCAACACAAGATCTCTTCGGAAAAAGTCAAAGAAATCGTGGACGAGACGAACTCTCAGAGACTCCCCGGCCTAGCAATTTTTTACTCGGAGCTCGTACATGGAATCCCGCCAATATTCAAGCATTACGTGGCGAATGTGCCTGTCCTTCACTCGATATTGGTGTTTGTTTCGTTCAAATCATTGCCTATTAGCAAAGTGCCAATAGAAGAAAGATTCCTTTTCCGGAGAGTACAACCTAAAGAACTTCAAGTGTTTAGGTGTGTTGTGCGTTATGGATATACGGATGCAAGAAACGAGGAAGAGCCGTTTGAGAAAATGTTGGTCGAGAGGTTGAAAGAGTTCATTAGGGAGGGGTATTGTATAAATGAAGAGGAGGAATCGAATGAGATTGGTGGTAATGAAGATGAATTAAATGAACAAGTGGAGAGGGATGTCGAGTATTTGGACAAGGCGTGGCGGTGCGGGGTGGTGCACTTGATGGGGGAACAAGAGGTGGTGGCGGCAAAGGGGGCCAACGTTGTGAAGAGGTTGTTGATTGACTATGGGTATAACTTCTTGAAGAGGAATTTGAGGCAGACCAACAATGTTTTTGATATTCCTCACAAGAGAATGCTTAAAGTTGGGATGACTTATCAACTTTAATTTTTTATTTTTATTTTTCTTCATCTCATATCTAAATAAATTATAACTCATGTTATATTATTACATTTCAATCTGTTCAATTTTATTTCTATTCCTTACTTTCGGATACCAACTATAACACAAGAATAACCTGCAATTTTCTAAAATAAAACTCATAAATAACTAGGTTTCATTCCACTATATATAGGCCCTCATAATTCAAATCAACCATCAAACTCCCTCATCTTCTATGACCTATAAACACTGAAAGTCATCAAAAAATAAATACTACTGCCTATTATTATTACAAAATAGTTCAAATAATTACTACCTTGAATACTCCTATTTTATCACAAAATTTCCAATTTTTATTTCACAGTCTCAAAAAGCCTACCAATATTTAATGGTTAGTTCCACCCCTCTTTTATCTCTTTACACAACTTGATATCATTTCCTAAAACAACCTAATAAAAAAGGGTTTTGGTGCATAAGTTCATAACCAAACATCTTTATTATTCTAGGTTTAGGGGTTATATCTTTTTCACCAATAAGTCCATCTCTTTAATATTTATTATAAATAAAGGAAAAATTCATGTATATGACAAAATTACCCCAACCCTTTACATCCAATTCTTAATTGTAACCCCAATTTAATCAATTTTGACCACAAAAATTCAATTTTGACTTTTCTTTTTCAAAATGTTTTTTTGCCGCCGGATTCCGGCGTTGACTTTTTGATTTTTCTTTTTTCTGGTCTGTTTTTTCCGCCATCGGATTCCGGCGTTGATTTTTTTTTTTTTTTTTACGTCCGCCGCTAAACGTTAACCGTAATTGTGTTGTCATTAACGGTAATTATACTATCACTGACAGTAAATTAACGTAATTATACTATCACTGACAATACATTAACGTAATTGTTCTGCCGTTGACAATACATGTATGTAATTGTACTGTCGTTGACAGTAAATTAACGTAATATTATTATTTTTTTTGTTATTCTTTTTAAATTTTGTTTGATTTGTTGACAAGTCAACGTAATTATATTACTGTCGTTGATAGTAAAATAACTGCAAACACAATAATATTACTGTCAACCACATCAATATTATTAATTTTTTTGGGTTTTTTTTGTTTTGTTTGAGTTATTCACGGAGTAACGTAATAATATTACTGTCTATTATTGTAATATTACTGTAAACACAATAATATTACTGTGGTTGACGGTAATATTACTGATGTTATAGTAATATTATTGTCAACCACATCAATATTATTATTTTGTTTGGGTTTTTTTTGTTTTATTTGAGTTATTCGCGGAGTAACTTAACAATATTACTGTCACTCACAGTAATATTAATTCTTTTGGCTTTTTATTATGTTTACATTTTTTGAACGGTCAATATATTAATATTACTCTATTACACAATAATAATGAGTTTTGTTGTGTTAATATTAACTGTGTGCTAGAGATTAATATAGCAATATTATTGTGTTAAACTGTAGTATAGTTAGTTTTACTGTGTTTAACGGTAATATAGTTAATATTACTGTCAATCACAACAATATTGCTGTTTAAACGGAAAACAAAAAGATGTTACAGAAACAAAGAAAAAAAAATCGAAAAAGTCAACGCCGGAAACCGGTGGTAGAAAAATTGGGGTTATATTAAATTAAATGATGAAATTGGAGCATATTAAAGTATTAGGGGCTATTTTAGCCTTTTACAAACCTCTTGACCATGTGTAGACTTTTTTGTAAAATAGTTTATTGTCTGGATCTCTTTATGAATAAGTACCCATTGATGGACTTATTTGTAAAGACCACAATAAAAAAAAAGTCTCAAATACCTTCAAAATGTTCGAATCCTTTTATTTCCTATTTTTTAATTCCACCACCGCTCTAACAGATATTCAATTCCGTAAAGATCTTATCCATATTTTGGGAGAAGAATTTGGAAATAAAATAAAGTTTGTTTGTGTTTTGGTAGGAGACAATTTATACTGTAGCAAGTCAAATCATGTCTGAAAGGTGTTGGAAAAAAGTAATTTTGAAGTAGAATTTGAAAGATAAAGTGATTTTAATTTGTATTTTAGTTAAGACAATTTTACCGTAGCGGTCAAATCAAGTTTATTAGAGAGAGAAATATTTGAATATTTTTTGGGGAATGTTTTTGAAAATATTTTAGAAAAATAATTTTATTTTGGGGAAAGAGTGAAATGAATTTGGAAGTGCTAACAAACATAGCCTATTTCTCTCGTGGGTGGTTATATGCGCATGCACCCTTTTGGCGCGGATATTTTTTTTTTACCATAACTTTTTATCTTTTTACTATAAGTTTTTACCTTTTTACATTTTTTCTACCAAACCATATAATCTATATCTATACTACTTATAAAAGTACCAACGTGACAAGTGGTTTCTTTCGTTTTTTGATTGTACAAAAATACCCCTTTCAAAGACAATATGTGAAGGACAATATGGTAATATTTTATTACAACAAATTAATCCGCTCAATTTTGTTGTTGTTTCTTGGAAGTTTGTATAATATGATTCTTTAATTCATAAATTAATCTGTACGATTAATGTATGGGAAGATGAATGTTCATTGACATTTAATTAGCATCAATTTCATTGATAAGTGTATTTGTATGGTTTAGTTATTAATATGTACATTGGTAATATCCCAAACAATTGCAATATAAATCATAAAAAAAAGGCAAAATAACATATATTTCTTCCCAACACTTTACGCTGTTGAAAAAAACCAAGACATATAAGTCTATGTGGCGGAAATCACCCAATGTCTGCAGCCGGTGGTGTAGATAATCAGATAAGGAAAACCAATGATTTCACAATTTCTAACATCTTCTACTTCGTTCTCTTTGTTGGCTTATGTCAAAATGGACAACTATATGCATGGTCACGGCCAGACGGAGAAGATTTGATTATTGTTAAGAATATATGTATAGTCCATTTATTTATTTGTTATTTTTTCTCTTTAGGATTTTTTTTTTTTATTGTTTTACTTTAGGATTGCTTCTATTTGTTATTATTCCTTTGAGTAATTATGAGATCAAATTATTGATATGTAGGAATGTATACTAACTTCTAGGCAACTGAATTAAACTATTATAGAGATGGTTCTGCAACAAAACATTTATATGGCCATGAAGTATTTTTTCGTGATCAAGTACTCTTTTGTTTTGCAATTTTATTTCCTGAGTATATTTGACGAGTTTTGGTTGTATACAATTTGTTTCAGTTATTGTGGATTAATTTATTTAATTTTGATAATGTTAGTTAATATTAATAATTAATTAGGATATTAATAATTAATAATTATAATAATTGATATTATAAGATTTATTGAACAAATATTCTTTAGTGTTTGATTGATATACTTCACCAGTTTTTTAATAATAATTATATATATACTAAATATTATATAGTAACATTCCACTCCCTCTTGTAGTGAACTTTGTCCTCAAGGTTCGAGTCAATTTGGTACCACTCCTTTGCGTTTCGACCTATGTTTGTTTTCATCGAATTTCTCCCTTCCAAAGATGAGCCCATCTGCCCGAAGGAAATTTCTCACTTCGACCGTCTTTATAGAATTTGGCTCACTCACAATCACAAACACTTCTTTGTATCCTTTTTCCTAGAAGTCGTGGCATCCTTCCAATATATTTTTTAATTCCTTGTTCTCCTCGCTACTTAACTTCTCCTATTCGTTCCAAATTATCTCACTTAAGACGAGGATTCTTCGTTCTTGGTTAATTTCTCGTCTTCATCCCAAATAACTTCAACTGAATCCGATAATTCTTCTTTCGACGAACTCACAAAAAATTGGGGCTCTTCAAAAAAGTCATCGTCGTCCTCTTCCTCTCCCTCGGGCGATAGGCTCGGTTGCAACGACGGTGGTGGTTGCGGTGGCAGTGACGGTCCCTTTGGCCTTTATGTTGGCGTTGACGTTGTCCTTGACTTTGTTCGAGCAATTTCTAAATATTAATCCGTACCTTTTCCATGATTTTTTTCAATCGCTCCAACCGTCTTTTTTCTGGCATCATAAAGTGAGGGGGCACTCCACACTTTTATAGGGAGTGACGTGTAAGTGAAACTTAAAAGTAAGTAGTGCAGAGTTAAAAAATACGTGTAAGGACTGACCCGCAAACTTTTTAGGCTTTAGGTGTTTAATAGAAAAAGAGGTTTGTGAGTTAAATAAGAAAAAGACAACCGTTTTGCTAAGCCAATAAAGAGGTTTGTGAATTTTTCTTTCAGATCCTAAAAAAAAATCTCAACTCTTTTACTTGAGAAAATGATGAATTATGGTCGATCGGTGATTCTTTCTCCTTTTGTTCTCAATTTTTTTTCCATCGAGAATAAACACACAAATAATAATAGCAAGTAATTTGCCAACTTTGCCCTTCTTTAGTGGATATGTTATCTATTTTTGTTAATCTCCGTCAACACTTAGAGGGTGTTTGGCTAAGCTTATAAGATATTAAAAGGAACTTATAAGATATTTTAGAGCTTATAAGCTCTTTCAAAGTGTTTGGTAATTTAAAAAAAAAATCTTAATTTTTATAAAAATAAGCTGATGGAGAGCAAATAAGATCTTTTTAAAAAAGTACCTCTACCCCACCTTTTTATTTAAGATCTTATAATGAGTAAAAATACGAAATAAACTCATTATCCAAACACTCTAAAAATTAATCCTAAAAATAAGATGTAACAGTTTATCAACTCTTAAAACATCTTATCAGACGTAAAAACTTATTAGTTGTTTAAAATAAGCTTAGCCAAACACCCTCTTAATGGTTATTGGGGTTGTGAAAGCTTAAGCTAAATCTGTTTTTTAGCTTTTCTGGGGACAAATGAAAAGAAAGTTACGATGATAATAGTGGAAGTTTTTTAAGTCTATTTGAAATGGTTGCAGAATTTGATCCTGGAATACAAGAATATCTAGGCGTATTAACAATCGAGAATTACATACTTACTATCTCGGGCATAATATACAAAATGAATTGGTGCATATGTTAGCTTGTGAAATAAAAAATAATATCATTAAGAGGAATAAATATATAAATATTTTTTATGATATATTTGATTGTACTTCGGATACAAGCCATCAAGAACAAATTAATGTCTCTTATTGTAATAAGTGCGTATATATCTACGACTCCAATTAAAATAAAATAATATTTTATTGACTTTTTTAAAATAGATGGTACAACGGGAAAATATATATTTGATGCACTTCTAAATGTGATGTAAGATCTTGAACTTGATATTGATAATGCGAGACCACAAGGATATGACAATGATGCAAACATGAAAAAGAGCGAACATGGTGTTAGACTATAAACCCTAGAGGATTTTACATTCATTGTGGTAGTCGTAGTCTTAATTTAGTAGTTTGTGACATGACTAATTCTTGTTATAGAACTATATCTTTTTTTTTTGGGGGTGATACAATGTATATATACTATATTTTCTAGTTTACAAAAATATTGAAAAATATTGACGGATAATATAAAGAACTTAACACATAACCATTGTCACAAACACGGTATGAAAGTCAAATTGAAAGTGTCATGATTCATTCAAAGTCAGCCAATCACTATGCTTTAATTTAATTGGGAGAAACTACTTTAGATCCTCAAAAAAGGGTAAAACTAGATGCTCCATCCATTTATGAGATTGAGAATTTTGAATATTTATTTAACATGAGTATTTGGATTGAATTATTATATGCTGTTAATTGTGTTCGTAAAATTGACAATCAAAATATATGCACATTGATTATATTATGCTATAGAATAATTAGAAGGTTTCTTATCATTCTTAGAGGTTTTTAAAGAAAATGAGTTTAAATCTTACCATTAATGTTACTTACTAAAGAAATTGCCTTAAAATGAAACTGAACCAATATTTTGCGAAATAACGTGTGATTCAATGTAGAAAAACATAGTTTGATAAGATCCAAAGGCCAAAATAATCATAATATATTATCATTCGAAGTGTCATTTAGAATTGAGTTAGGTGGAGAAACTGGACAAGTTTACTTAATTGTGGTTCAACCCCTAGGGGCCCTTTAGGAATTATCGAAGCTTTTGCTGCCTTAGCACTAGAAGCTTTAGTTTATTTCCTTTTTTACCACATTTTGTGGGTGCACTGTAATAGGCTCGATAGGGTCGTCTCTGATTTTTTATTACCATTGTAGGAGTACTCTTTTTCCTTGTGTTAGGCCCACAAGGTTTTAACGTGGCCCCCAAACGCTTTATCATAATGGAATAATAAAATCTTTTTGGCAAAAAAAAAAAAAAAAAAGAATTGGGTATTTCTTATATGTTGTAGATTAACTGTTTCTTCAATTTAAGTTAAATTTGAACAATTTAAATTTTATGAAAATACTTTTGGATTGTTATGAAATATCAAACTTTGAAGTCTTTAGAAGACAACGATAAAGTTATATAAATCTTGAAATTTTCTTAAAACATAACTCAAAATATTATGAACTAAAAATAGTAAGGAAAGTCATATGATTATCTATTGAAATAGAGAAACACATTGATATTTAATCATACAAAAGTAATTGTTTTTTTTTTTTATTCAAATACGTGTATGTGTTAAAGAATATATTTACTATACCTATAACCATTATATTGCTTCGGTTGAAAGAACATATTTCAAAGAATATATTTACTATACCTATAACCATCCATTACTCTTGGGGAATTTTTTTAATTGATTTCGTAACATGAACTTATAATGTTAATGCTTATATCAAGAATAATTGAATACAAAAATGTAATTAAAAAAACTAAACTTCATTAGGGAATAGCAAATACAACACATATAGGTAAGCTACACTGCTAAGATCATGCTAAATCAAAGCTAGCTACTAATAATAAGCCTATAAATTACAATAAGCCTATGGATTACACACGTTATGACATACTTGCTACATGTCTTATCTATGCTACGCCAGGTGAATTACACCGGTCAGATAATATCTCACCAGAAACATTTACAAACAATCACACACACACACACATACGTGTGAATGTGTGTAATTAAATAAAGGTATGGTGAGATTTATACCCAGTGAAATTCACCGGGTGTAGCTAAAAACAAACCACTTAGTTTGTTACATTAAAACAAACAACTACGTACTTTCCAAGTATAGAGCCCCGGAAATTATAATTCGTAACCAAATCTTAATAATATGAAGATATATATATATATATTTCAAGACATATTTGGCTGATATGGCTTGAGGAGGGGAATGAGGGAGCCACTGAGGTGGAGGGACATGACCTCATTTGTGGACCCCACCAACTTGCCGGAGACGAAAACCGCCGGCAGTGGGCCGCTGCAGCCCATCCTCATGAGTGCCTTCTCAATATCCTTTCCCTCAGCGGGATCATGGTCGATTTCGTAAATACTAGGGTTTGCTCCCAGTTCTTTGAATAACATCTGAACTGCATAGCACAAGCAGCAAGTGCTTTTGCTGAAGATCAGGATCCCATTCTCAGAAGCAAGTTTCACTACCTTCTCCATTTCCTGTTTGTTTTTTTTTTTTTCCAAGAAATGGGAAAAGTAATTATATGAAATTTGACTAGGCAAGAAAAATATTGTAAGTTCAAAACTTGCCTGAAAATTGAGTTATCTTGCAGCTCTATTTATAGGGATTTCTTTTTTCTTTTTTTAAAATAAATAAATTAAAAAACAGCAGCCAACAGAGGATCGGAGTACTGCTTTTTGCAAACAAAGAACATTTGTAAAGAAGGTGGGTTTAATTCTTGGATGCGAAAAAACATGCTATAAAGGCACTTTTTCAAAGATTGTAAGATATTTTTGTCGAACATAAACAAGTTGATGATGATTATTTGATTGCCAACAACGGAGGGACAGATACTTGTTGCGCGCTGAATAAATTCCGTGTAATATAATGGGAATATTTTTGACCGTCTAATAAATGCAAATGCAATATTACTTGATCAGATTCATATTCCTCCAAAAACTTTGCATGCTAGCTTCTCAAAGATTATTGTTGGTCTTATTGAAGATATTAATGTTAAATGATATAATTTACTTTGTAAACTTTTAGTTGATGTGGTCATTTAACATGGTGAGTCAGACCAAATAAAAGGTCTTGAGTTTGAATCCCACAGCCATCCTTTCAAATATATTAAGTACAAGAATTCGAATGTAATTTACTTACACTTGACCGCGTATGAATACTACAAGAATTTTTGGTTGAAATTGTCATTTAATTTAGGTTGAAATGGTCATTCTATGTGTGTAAACAATTTGGGGATGGTGATCTTGAGAACACGTTGCGCGCATGCTGACCATGCAAAAAGTAGAGATGTGATAATCATGCCACAAAGTTTATTTAAAGGAAATATATAGAAAAATAATTATTATAGTAGCAAATTGTGATATATATATATATATATATATATATATATATATATATATATATATATATATATATATATATATATTTGTCACAATGGTTAGGTGACTTATAATATAAATTTGGTGCAAGGTGGGGGTTGCGAATGAAGCATGAGTGGGGTGGTCAATTACCGATCAGATTCTTGAAAATTATGTCTTTGAGAAAAAACAATAATATATTCCGAGTCTCTGAAAGAAAGATATCACGAATAAAAAGACTTTCGGTGGTACGTGAATCTTTCTTTGTATTTGCGCCCACCCATTTGTGAACTGGACTCCTCCTCTCCATTTCACTACCATGCATCATGCATCTGCCTCAATCTCCTTGCACGTATCATGCATATATACTACTACTACTCATACACCCTGCTCTCTCTCTCTCTCTATATATATATATATATATATATATATATATATATATATATATATATATATATATATATATATACTCGAAAGGGGCGTGCTAAATCCCACACTAAAATTTACTAAATTCCACACATAAATTAAAAAAAAAAATCTCTCTCTATTCATATTCTCTCTAACTTAATTCTCTCTAAGATGATTTTATCCAAGTCACTCAAAATTCATTATTCTTTTTCACGTGAATAATCATAAATAATGAGTTCAAATTTTAATTAATATTTATTCGATTTCATTAAGCCTATTTAATTATTCAAATTCATATTAATTCAATTTTTTTTTTCTCACATTCCAACTTTATTTTAGGTTGAACATGTGAAGATTTTTTTCAAATTCGAACTTGGAATGCTAGGGACGTTTTTAGTGTGTGATTTTGTAAAAGAATTAGGGAAAAAAGAAGAAGGGTGGGAAATGAGAAAATAAGATTTTAGAGAGATAAATATTTTTAGTTATGTGCATGATTTGGTAAAATTAGTACTGCTAGATTTAGCATTTTAGTACTCGAAATGGTCTTAATATTGTGTGTACTATTATTCTATTATTTAAATTGACAATACAATATACAGAATAAAAGATAGTTCTGTGGTATATATATATATATATATATATATATATATATATATATATATATATATATATATATATATATATATTAATGATTTCAAATTATTATAATCAGATGACTTGATGCAAAATCAACATAAGGAACGGGTGTGAGATTTCCCCCCTACATAATTATGTTAGCAACTTATAAGTTTTTAAATATTTTTAAGATGTTTTCAGGAGCTTATAAGCTTAGCCTAACAGGGTCTAAATATATGTGTATGTACTAATATAAGATCAACTTGACCTACTTGAAAAATATCAAGTTCGTTCCATAGTTGTTGGATGTGGAAGAATTTTTGGGTGAGTGGGTGACCGGTGGCAATATTTGCACATGCCTTAGGGTATCATTCTTTTGTTGCAGAGTTTTCGAATAGAAAGTGGGAAAATTTTGATGGACCTAAATAAACATTGAAAAAGTGATATAGTATGAATGTCATACCAACATGGTGATTTTTGTGGGCCCATATATATATATTATATACTATCAATATATTTTATACCTTCAGGATCAGTGACATGAAATGGCTGTATAGGGCACAAGTGTCAAGCCCGACTAGGCGCAAAACTCGGAATGAAAAATATGTGTTTGGGTAGGTAGGGGAGTTTGATGCCACACTTGTTTATTTATATCAGGTGATTTCCAATCATAGATCTGATTAAATAACCACCCACTAAGTACGTATGCACATAGAGTGTGTGTGGTGTGATTATGTGTAGATCTATGATTAAAATACACAATAGTGTAAATAATCAAATGTAGCATCTACTTATCCGATGGGGATTGTCTCTATCATAGCAATATGATGACCACATGTAAAAAAGGGGTGCAATTGATATTCTCTTCTTGATTTTTGCATTGAACCCATATAGCATCAAGATTCATCTCCAGCCCACACATATTCCTAATTAGTTTGTTGTAAAAATCGGCCTAGAAAAAAAAATTAATATATATATATATATATATATATATATATATATATATATATATATATATATATATATATATATATATATATATATATATATATATATATATATATATATATATATATATAATACCATGGTTATCGGATCGTAAATATATCTCGTATCATTTTGCTCCACATCTCGTACCGTATTGTTTATCGTATCATATCGTAAGATATTAACCAACTATTAAACTGGTAATATATATATATACACACACACACACACACATAAGAAAAATATTAGAAACATGTAAAATTTAATATTTTAAAGTCAAATACTCATTAAAAAAAGGGTTTTTGTGCATAAGTCTCCAACCAAACATCTTTATTATTTTAGGTTTAGGAGCTATATCTCTTTCACCAATAAACCCATCCCATTAATATTTATTATAAATAAATGAAACATTCATGTAAATGCTAATATTATCCTCAACCATTTATACCCAATTTTTAATTGTAACCTCAATTTAATCAATTGTGTTCACAAAAATCCAATTTTGACCACAAATATTCAATTTTGACTTTTTTTTGGAGCATACTTTAATATGCTCCAATTTCATCCTTAACTTAATTTAATCTCAATTTGACCCCAAATTTCACAAATTATTCAATTTTGACCCAAAACTTTTTTTTAAAAATTTTTTTTCAAAAAAAAAAAAGAATTTTGCCGCCGGATTCCGGCGTTGACTTTTCAATTTTTTTTCTTTCTTTCGATTTTTTCGCCGGTTTCCGGCGTTGATTTTTTTTAGTGTTTTTTTAAGTTTTTTTATTATTTATTTATTTTATTTTTTTGTTTTTTTTTACGTCCGCCGCTAAACGTTGACCGTAATTGTGCTGTCACTGACAGTAAATTAACGTAATTATACTGTCAATGACAGTTAATTAACGTAATTGTACTGCCGTTGACAATACATTTATGTAATGGTTCTGCTGTTGACAGTAAATTAACGTAATATTATTATTTTTTATTTTGTTTGATTTGTTGACAAGTCAACGTAATTATATTACTGTCGTTGACAGTAAAATAACTGTAAACACAATAATATTACTGTCAACAACATCAATATTATTGTTTTTTGGGTTTTTTGTTTTGTTTGAGTTATTCACGGAGTAACGTAATAATATTACTGTAAACACAATAATATTACTGTGGTTGACGGTAATATTACTGTTGTTATAGTAATATTGCTGTCAACCACATCAATATTATTATTTTGTTTGGATTTTTTTGTTTGTTTGAGTTATTCACGGAGTAAGGTAATAATATTATTGTCTATTATTGTAATATTACTGTGGTTGACGGGAATACTACTGTTTTTATAGTATTATTAATGTCACTCACAGTAATATTAATTCTTTTGGCTTTTTATTATGTTTACATTTGTTGAACGGTCAACATAGTAATATTACTCTATTACACAATAATAATGAGTTTTGTTGTGTTAATATTACTGTGCTAGAGATTAATATAGCAATATTACTGTGTTAAACTGTAGTTTATTTAATTTTACTGTGTTTAACAGTAATATAGTTAATATTACTGTCAATCACAGCAATATTGTTGTTTAAACGAAAAAAAAAGTTACAGAAAAAAAGAAAAGAAAAAGAAAAAAAATCGAAAAAGTCAACCTCGCCGGTCAACGCCGGAAACCGGCGAAAAAATTCGGAAAAAAAAATTTGAAAAGTCAACGCCGGAGACCGGTGGGAAAAAAAAATTTGAAAAAAAAAAATTTGGGTCAAAAAAAATTTAAAAAATTTTTTTAAAA